CAGCAGGTAATGTCATCTGTTAGAGCTGTGAAAAGAAAGTCAGAAGGACTACTACATGTTATGGCTAAATCTTTTTGTAACTATTACATTTGTATGGTGGCTTATCTGGAGGCTATTCATAGCAAAAGGTAGATGACAAGGTGAAAAAAAAAAGTCTTGAATGGACCCATTTTCTAGGTTCCCCAATGGAAACAGCACTGTAATGTTTGACAGATTTGGGGTTCTTTACACTGGAGAACAGTCTTCTTTGAGTGATCTGTGTATTTCCACTGGTGGGATCCAGGTGCCTGCAAAGACAGCCAGTTGATCCAAACTGCACCAGCAGCACATGCCATAAGTGTAAGGTGCAGAACTCATGTAGAACTTCAATTACAGGTCAGTAACCTTCATATATGCTGAGGTTCATTTTGATGAACTCTGGTTACAGTAAGTAACTTGCATTTTCTTAAAGAAGTATCTATAAGAATATAACTAACAGTGATCACAAGATAATAATAATAGCTGCCCTCCTGTACACAAGCATAAAGAACAAACACTGCAGGAGTTTGGTTGCTTCCAGCAAAGTGGCATCTTATGGGGAAGACTACTGGGCAGCATTGTTGTGTGCTGCTAATATGGTGCCTGCTGTGAGTGAAGAGGCTGAGGGTTCTAAGCCTGGTAAGGCATATATTAAAGTCAATTTATGTTTTGAAGTTACCCTTTTATTACAGTGAAACACAATGAGGTGGTTGAGGGAAGCAGTTCTTAAAAGCATGTGAGAGAACTATAGGGACATGCTGGCAGTCGCTGTGCTGTTCTCTTGTACGCACAGTTCTACACTAACAGCAGAGAGAATTGCTAGCATAGCACTCCCTTGAAAATAAATGCATCCATTTCTTACTGGGTTTGAGCATTTTGTGGGCAGCATTTTTACCTACTAAGAAGAAAAAAATACATTTGTTTAGCTTTTATTTAAAACCAAAATTATTCACACAAGTGTTAGGGCCATAATTAGATATAACAGATGTTTAATTTAAGGAATTTCTCTTGCATTATATGTCATAATACGTATGCTGCATGATAATGAATCTGTAAATTGCTTATTAAAACTTCCTTATGTGATCAAGTGTGTACTGACTTTCAGTTCTAGCATATGCTGGAAAATATCAGAAATCTAAAAATGTAGTCTGATGTGACATCAAAGTTAAACATGCAAAAATCAAGTAAAGAATATAGTTTGTATAGTAACCTTCATTCACACGTATTTCAGATTAGTAATGGAGATGTAGCCACATTCCACAGTGGATTTGTGAGTAGCCTAAGACTATTCTGAATTAGTGTAAGCGACTCCTTCTTTCACTATTTTGGGTCAATCCTGACTGTCTTTCTCTGGTGAGCAATGCTTTTGAATTCCATAGCATGATTGTGGGGTAAAGCAAGCAGGCTTTGGCTTATTAATGAAGCTATTCAGTCCTCTAATCTCCTTCTCCTCCAGGCAATGGGGAATTTTGTCATTGTTTTCATTGAGAGCAGGTCTAGGTCTTTGGTGTGCATTAAAACGGCTACATTAGTGAAAAATAAATTTCACATGAGCAGAATCATTTTAGAAGGCATCACTGCAAAGCTTTGTAGTGTTCCATTGGCAGCAATCTTTCCAAATTTTCATTATAATGAGTAGTTATTATCTAGGAAGCAGCAACTTAATGACAGATGAGTTTCTGTCTTGGCACACATTTACTCCAAGAGTCATCTTTTTACTCTGATTATAAAACGGGGAGGAAGAAATGAATCATTTTGTGCTTTAAACATCTGTAGTGTTCAAGATAAATGCATCATAACTCAGTAAATGAAATTACCATCTAAACAGACTCAGAGATGTGAGATAAAAATGTACACAGGGGAAAAAGATTTTGGTATATGTTTTGCAAAATAGATCAGTATTTTTCGGGATCCTTCTTACAAATCTTGGTTGGCCCAGGCATACCCTGCTATGATTATTATTTTAAATTCACAACTGTAGGCCTATAAAGCTGTCCCGGTCCACTTTTCTTGTATTGGCATGAATAGTTTAGACCTGAATTTTGTCAATAACAGAATTCATCTACAGATTAATTAAAATACAGGCAGTCCCCGGGTTACATACAAGATAGGGACTGTAGGTTTGTTCTTAAGTTTAATTTATATGTATGTCGGAACTGGTGTCCAGATTCAGCCGCTGCTGAAACTGACCAGTGGCTGACTACAGGAAGCCCGAGGCAGAGTTTCTCTGCCCCGGGGCTTCCTGGAATCATCCGCTGATCAGTTTCAACGGTGGCTGAATCTACCCCAGGTGTCCCCAAGTCAGCTGCTGCTGGAACAGATACGCGGC